GCCGAGGTCAAAGTAGGCAGGGACAAACTAGCTAAAAAGTCAGAAATTGACTGAGGATCAGCCCGAGTGGAATCAGTATAAAGTTTGGCAAGACGATACCGAAATTCCTCCAGAACAGCTACTGGATTACTTGTGAGAGTATTATGATGAGTGCGTAAAGAAATCGGTTTGGGGTGATGTGTAAAAGAACGTAATCTACGAGCCAACATGGAGTCTGGTTTGTTTGCTTTACTGTACCACTTCTGACGTGTCCAGCATAAGGAGCGCTCAGCGTCATCCGTTAAGCAAAGATCCAGTTCTAAGCAAGCCTGATCCAACAGTCTACGGTTCGACGGGGTAGGTGACTGTTTAAATTGAGCTGATGCAGAAGCTAACTTTGTTTCTAGCTGACACTGTTTAAGCTGCCTATCTTTCTTTCATCGTGAAGCTATCTGGATAATATGTCCCCTGAGAACAGCCTTGTAAGCTTCCCATAACATCACCGAAGAATAAACCGAACCCGAGTTTAGCTGGAAATATTCCTGAGGTTTGCGCTGTAGTTCCGCCTGGATCTCTTTCAGCGAAAGCAGGGAGTCATTCATTATCCATGAAGAATAGGCCAGCTTACAAAGAAGAGATCGACAGACCACCAAGATAGGATCATGATAGGACCATGGAACCGTAAGAATAGAGACAGAGCAAACCAAAGGGAGATGTTTACGCGGTACAAAAGCATGGTCTATTCTGGAATGGGAATGATGAGGGTGCAATAACAAGTATAGTCTTTCCCCCAGGGATGAAATTCACGCCAGAGATCTACCAAATCATGGGTACTTAACGTACGTACAAAGGACTTAGTTGATGCTGATAGGACAGGATGCTCTGCCGGATATTTATCTAGTGCAGGATTTAACACTAAATTGGAGTCTCCTGCCATCAGGAGAGTGCCCCGTTGATGTATAGCCAAAAGGGAACAGAGGTGTGACAAAAAAGGTCCAGGGTTGGCATAGTAGGACATTATGGTAACTTCTATGCCTTGGATCGTGCCTGTAGCAGAAGGTATCTACCATTGGGATCAGCAATACGCTTCATGTAGACAAACAGAGTTTTGCTATGGAAGGCAACCAGCACCCCTCTCTGTTTAATGGGACCAGTAGCCTGAAATATCTGAGGGTAGCGTGCATCAAAATATTTTGGGGCTGAAGTAGTTGAAAAATGAGTTTCCTGCAGACAAGCAATGTCCACCCGACGAGCCCAAAGAAACTTCAATATCTTTACCCGTTTTCATCCCCTGAACATTCAGAGATAACCAGTTCAGCGACTTAATGATCGGAAAGAGAAAAGGTCAGATCCGCCGCGAACCCCGGGAGCCCTGAAAAAAAATTTTACAAAGACACAAAACACACATGACGAGGGACAGATAAAAGGAGACGGAAAAGAAAGAAGAAAACAAGAAGACATCTGATATACAAGCAATATATCCGTGAAACAGTAAAATTACTATGAACATCGTAATAATCAACTGTGGGTAAAATACCCACATAAAGGCTGGGTAGCGGGCGTGGCAAAAAACCATACCGCTAGCCAGCTCAGAGGGGGACACGATAATCCACCGGAACAACTCGGCATGAATAAAAAAGAACAAAGAATTATAATGCAAACAACTTAGGCTAATACACCTGTGAGTGAGTAAACAACAAGAAACTCGTATAACTTTGAAAATCTCAACCAGTCAGAGAAGAGAGAGGGAAAAATGAAAAAAAAAGGAAAAAAAAAAAAAGGGGGGGGGGGAGGGACCTGAGATCCCCTCTGACCCGGAAGAGATAAATCACATGAAGGTCATGGGACCCATGGGCCCACGGTTATTGTAGCCTCCCCGTTTTGGGGAGCGGGACACATCCAGATTCCATTCCAAAAAGTAGCGGCAAAGATCCATATATAATGATGCTGTAAACTAACGGCCAGTTACTGAATATCAATTCGTGGAGACTTCCTGGAAACGCTGGGCCTGCAGAGATCGAAGGGCTTGAGAGCTACTCTGACTTGGAGAAGAAGATTTACGCGAAGACTGGGAGTTCCGAGGGCGTGTAGAAATTGTAGCTTCCTCACTCTGGGATTGTGGCAGCTCTAGATTAAGCTCCCGAAAATGACAGCGAAGATCCGCTGGTGAAGTAGCCTGGAATTGACGACCTTGGAAGAATAAGAACTTGAAGGGGAAGCCCCATCTGTATTTGACATCAGCCGATTGAAGAATTTGGAGATAGGGTCTCAAAGTGTGACGTTTGGCAATCATAACTGGGGACAGATCCGGAAACAGATGAACAGAGTGTCCCTGAAATTCCAGAGCCGGACGGTTCCGAGCCGCCTGTAACAGACGCTCTTTCGTGCGGTAAAAGTGGAGTTTAATAATAATGTCCCTGGGAGGACCCTCTGCGGGCTTGGGAGCTAAAGCTCTATGGATACGGTCAAACTCCAAGCGCTCCAGGGGGATCTCGGGAGCCAGCTCCTGAAAAAGAGCAGTAGCAGTACCCTGTAAATCAGTGATTACCTCGGGGACTCTGCGGGAGCGAAGGTTATCTCTGTGGGCTCTATTCTCAGCGTCTTCCAATTTACCTTTTAAAGTGTCCAGCTCAGCATGTAGATCCTCCACCTCCTGTTCATGACCCTCCAGGACCGTAGTCGCTAGATCCATACGTTGTTCCAATTGATGAGCACGAAGCCCCAATTCTTTTAAGCCTCTTGCTAAATCGGAAGATGATTTACGGGAGGCAACTGTAATCTCCTCTTGCACTAGAGTGCGGAATTTGTGTAATAAGGCTTCAGGATTTTGCTCAAAAGGGTCAGCCATCCCCGATGAGAATTGCCGCTGGCTATCGCCATCCGTCATCAGGCTCAGGAGGGCTAGGTGTTAGCTTAGCGACATGACCCTGTGGAGTGGATTGCTGTTGGGCCTGAAGTTTAGGTTTAGAGCGTGGAGTGCGATGCATTGTTAAGGGAAGTCCAGAGGGTTCCAAAACGCCTTTGATCTATTGGAGTGATATACTGGAGTGTAGGAGCCCAATTGCCGAGATAAATATTCCGGTGGTGCGGCTCAGGGGAATCACGTAGTCATCCTCCCCCTGGCACGTGTATGTGTCCCCCATTGGGGATGCATTCACATAAGATCCATTAATATAATGTGCCGGTAAATGGGATAATCGCAGCTGAGGTAGGCACGGATCCCAATGCCTTACAATCCTGGGAAAGCCAGCCCAAAGGCGCCGCAGGATCCCCTAGTCCACCCCCCAGGGAAGGGGGCCAAAGGATGGAGCCTCACCCCCTATCCAGGGCCACAGCCCCCCCTTGAGTATTCTCCTGGCCTCACTGAGGTACTTAATATGTATGATGTGGTCCTCAGGGCCTACAGAAGAGCCAGGGGGGACCCCCTAAGGCTATCCCCGCAGCTGACCTGTGAATGGGGTCCGCAGGGCAGAGCAGCAGTGTGTCGTCCCAGCCGTGGCCCCCCTGCAAGTGTCAGTCAGGAATCGGAGACCCGCGGATCACCAATGGGTAGCTGTCATCTCTGGGATGGCGGTGGATGCTGGTGTAAGGTGCCGGAGCTCAGGAGGAAGCGTCCACTCCCGGCGCCATCTTGGACACACCCCTAAGATTTGTTTTTCATATTACACTATGACCAAAGTAGTATACTGTTACCATAGTAACATTGTACTACTTTGGGGAAGTGATCAGTATTTTTTTTCTACACAATTTGATTGCTTATAGCAAAGAATTTCTTTGCTATAAGCTAGCATTTATCTGAAGTAAATGCTTAATTCCGTTTTTTTTTATTGTGATTAGCTGTGATTGGCCACGGCTAATGGCACATGACACAGATGGGCTGTGATTGGCACAGCCTGTGCATGTGATCACTGTGACCATTCACAGCTAGACACACTTGTATACAATGGATGGCAGAAAGGAAGACATCCATTATTTACAACTGTCATATGACCTGCCGTGATTGGTCACAGCAGGTCACAAGGTACTGGCAACGGTTCCTGTATACAGATCTGTTTTCGGTAGTGTCCGAGATATGCAGCCGGAGACAGATCTGGCAAGGCACGATCCAGGAAGGACATCATATGACGCCCTCTCAGATCGACGAGTCTCACTCGGCCGTCTTTTTTACTACGGGCCGGGCGGGAAGTAGTTAATTAGCACTCGCTCCAACGTTAGAAAAGGTACTACTTCAAAGCGACTTCTATCCGACTTTTGCCCATAGACTTTAATGGAAGTTGCCTTTAAGTCGGATACTCATCTATATTGATGTGATTTGGGTCCAATGTTACAGGAAGATTACCAAGGCAAAGTTGCATGGCATGAATATCGCGTATCAAGTCCCATCAAAGTCATGCTCAAGTGACATCAAGTCGCTAGCAAATTGCCAGGAAGGCACCTGGCAAAGTTGCACTGCAAGACTTTCAAGTTGCAGTAGTGAGAACCGAGCCTTACACAAAAATTCCTATTGGTCAACAATTCAAAAGATAATTGTCCTGACGACCATAGTTACTAAGGAAAAGTGATGGGAAATACAAAAGGGTTGGTCTTTCCCCTGCATGGGCAACTTTTGCACTGTTTTTTTGTATGAACAACAACTAAACTCTATAAAAAGAGCAAGTAAATCTTGAAATGAAGCTGTGTGTGTTTTTTTATGCATAAGTGCTTCTAGTAACAATTGTTTTTTCATATAATATAAATAGAATCATGTCTTTATCAGTCATATGACAGATATGTGATCAGGATATAGATAACACGGATATGGAGTCTTTCCTCAGTAGGATTGTCTGTACTAGTTGATCATTGATTGGAGGGGGTGGAGCAACTCCTTCATTCCTGATGGTAGCACAGCCTTCCAGACAAGTTCTCCTCTTTCACGCTGAGTCATATGCTGGAAACATACTGAGCTGCACAGAATTCTCATATATTTGTCATTGTTTTTACCATACAGGTTCCTCTAAAGGCGACGGTGAATATCTGAAAACATGACCGACTCAGAGAGAAGTTTGGATAAAGGTAGGTGTGCAGTGTGACATTTGGATCTGCAGATTGCAGCTTTCACCTAATGAAAGGTCCCAGTTTTGTTACATTACAGCTGATGTGAACCATGTGATATCAGGACACACTCCTTGGCAAGGTACAGTGCTTTGTATGATAACCAGACCCAGGGCTTCTGAGGACAATGACAGGCTCATATGTAATGCTGTAGAATGGCTGCTTGGTAGTACTGAGGACTGCAGTATGTCTATTACAACAGCCACTGTGCCTGCAGTGAACTGACAGCTCAGGAGAGGGCAGAACCACAAACAGCCAGTAGAATGGGGAACTTGGCCTGGCTGTCATTCTTGTTTTGCAGATCATTCTACAGTTTGGACCGGTTCACAGTTGAACTCTGACATGGATTAAAATGTTGCAATGTGCTTTTATATGCATGCTAACAAATTGCTGATCCTATTTTCAAAACTGAATTAATTTTAAGAGCAAGTAAATCTTCAAATGACCTGGTATGTGTATTATGTGTAATTGCTTCTAGTAACAAGTTTTTTTTTAAAATATAAACTAAATATAACCGTGTTTGCACTGAAATGGAAGAATATGCCATTTTTATGTAACTTTTCAGAGATGCTCCTTTTTTTGAATTAGCTATTTTGATACTTTAAAGCTTTATTAAAAAGGAAATCAACTGTGTATTGGAAATTATTTTTATTAATAATATGTAGAAATTTTTTGTTAACCATACACTATGCAATCTGCTTGTACAATCTCCTTAACAGTCATCATACAGTATACAATCTGCTTGTACAATCTCCTTAACAGTCATCATACAATATACAATCTGATTGTACAATCTCCTTTAGATATACCATTAACGTGGAATTTCAGTCAAATTCTAGCTAAGGCTAAATCTTCTCCCACCCCCATTTTAGACTATTCTATCTACCCTGTAAAATAAAAGATGTCTATACTTACCTATTCTGAGGCTGCTTTAGTCAGTCAGTCAACTCTTGATCAGTGCCACTGGCTATAGCTAGTAGTGCTGATGAGTGGGAACTCCCCACCACTGTCAGAATACAATAGATCTATGGGAGGGATTCCCCATAGATCTATTGTATTCTGACAGCGGTGAGAATTTTCTTGATCAGTGCCGCTGGCTATAGCCTGTGGCACTGATCAAGCAAAATTTTCCAACAGGCAGGTTGAACAAAAGAAAATGAATGATATATGGCCTGCATAACTTTAAAGATGGCTTTTCTTCTTGCCATTACTGCAGCCAGAGGAGTCAGGGACTTACAATCTTTGTCTATTTTCCATTTTGCTGTCAAATCTGTTTTTGAATTTTTTGCACACATGTTTACAAAATAATTTTAAGCCTGAAGATTACATAAGGCCCAAAATGTTATATATTTTCAAAGACCCTAGAGAATAAAATAGTGGTAGTTCCAAATTTTTGCTGAAATTCTGTGCCAGTATGGTGTGACATAAAATAAAGTTAATTTTAGGGAATTTTAAAGGCGACATATTACCCAATTTTCCGGTAAAATATAAAAGAAGAGGTTGCACCAAGTTAATAGATATCCAACATGTCAAGCCCCATAATTGTGTGCATCTGTGAAACAATGACTAACTTCTATACACTATATCTTCCATAGGTGTTGCTTTAAAAGCCCCTACAGGTCATTAGTTTAGAGTTAACTGTGAAAAATGGCATAGAATTATTGATCTTGCTCAGACGTGCATAGTAATATGAGATTGGTGCCCCGATGTGTGCATTTACATTTGTACATATGTGTATGCGAGGGTGGGGGCTCAAACATTTGAGGGGGGGGGGGGATTTTAAGTGCTTGGGTGTAATAATATTAATTTTTCACACATTTTAAATTTTTTTTTGTACTAAACTTTTTTTCATTAGATAGGGTTTTTTTGTTGACAGGTTCTTTTTAATGTGATATCAGGGGTCTAAAAGACCTCTTCTGTCTCACCTGCCTTCCATTGAAAATAATGGGGTGCAGATCGCAAGTGACATGGGGACCCAGAAGTGGTGTTTTACATAGATGTTAACTGAGCTTTCACCCATCTACCCAGCGGCACCTGTCATGCCAGACCCAGGTCTGCTGATGGGCATGCAAAGTCCTTGAAATATAGCAGCAGTGTCCTCAGGGAGGGGGTGTAGGGAGACCGGCAGTTACTATTCTCATATGGAAGCGATCCAGCTGACTCACTACATACATCAATGGTAGTAAAAGGGTTAAAAAAAACCCTTTCTTTTGGATGACTCAGGGGGGCTGAACACAAATGCACTTCACACTTTTATTTGTAAAAAAATTTTGAAAAACCATTTATCATTTTCCTTCCACTTCACAATTATGCACCATTTTGTGATGGTCTGTCACATAAAATCCCAATAAAATACATTTATGTTTTTGGTTGTAATATGTCAAAATGTGGAAAATTTCAAGGGTTATGAATACTTTTTGAAGGCACTTGAAGACATCTTCTCGTCTTGTTTAGTGATCCAAATAAGGCTTGCAGATATACAAAGCCATTATTGCCAAATGAATTAAAGACGCTAAACCCTTGTTTACAAAGAAAGATCACAGTTACTGTCTTCATTAAAGGCCCATCCCACCAGATCATTGGTAGCGTCAGAAAAGGTGGGAGCATCAGTGAAGCAAATTTGTAGAGAGGCTATTTGGTATAATCAACATACCCTTGTCAAATACTAGAGTGGAGGTACTCTCACAACAAGACCTAGTGCTCATCAGAAAAGTTCTCCAGGCAGTGGTCCCACCATGAGGAAGGCTTTCATTATTTGCTGCTTCTTTCAGCTTGCTGTCCTAGAAGATGATTGGAGGAATTTCCAGTTAGACTTCCAGGTAACAGTATTTTTAGGAGTCTTCCAGGACAGCAAGCCTACTTCCCACCCTTTTTCTATGTGGTTATTTTTTACCCTTATACACTGGTGGAGGTAGTCTACTTTCATCTTCACTGCAGGACATGGAAATACCATTACCAGTAGGTTTAAAGAGGATTGTGGTCTCAAGTATAAAAGAAAAACGCAAGTGACCCTCCTTTTACAGTAGGGTCCATGATATAAGGTGAGGAGATACCCATGAGGTGTGATGTAGGGTACGGAGGTGTTTATTCACGCTGAAGGAAGTCATATTGCTGTTCTGACAATTTTGATATATTGAATGAGAATTGTACGAACATTGGTTGACATATGGGACTCTTACATTGGACTAAATGTTTTTTGTTTTTTATGCTTTAAGAGCTAAATTATGTATTTTTTTTTCAAATTCACAAAATGATACCGAAAACGGGGGGGGGGGGGGGGAGGGGGGTCTGTTTATTAACAAGGGTTATGGTATGAGGATATATGATATTATTATAATACATGATTTATAGACAGTTTGCACAGCGCTTTACAAAATGAAGGCAGCCAGTACAGTTACAATACAATTTGGTACAAGAGGAATCAGAGGGCCCTGCTTGTTAGAGCTTACAATCTAAGTTATGTCATATTGGAAGCGCTTCACTAGTATTTGATATAGAAAAATAAATATTTTTCTATTTGCCTACTTCTTCTTTGCCTACTGATCAATCCATTTTTGTTTTCAGGCAGTGCTGCCCCAGGGCCAGTCCCACAAGGGTTGATTCGACTATACAGTATGCGATTCTGCCCCTTTGCCCAGAGAGCAAGACTTGTCCTAATTGCCAAAGGAATCAAGTAAGGAAATTTAGATACACACTGCCTGGTGATTTAAAAAGTTTAATATACAGTATGCTGCTATGGAAAAACAGTACGTATTTAAACTTCTTGTATAGTGTACAATTGCACATTGATTTGCTAAAGCCTTGGACATGGTTAGCTAGGTAAGGTGAATGTCAACTGAATTTTGTAAATCCAAGCATGTATAAGAACAAAATCTTTTATTTATATTGCAAATGATTCCACATTCAAACTAAAGAGTTTCTACTTTTTTAACTGTAAAGTGATAGTAAAGTTAATTTAAAAAAAAAAATAATAAACATGTTATACCCACCTGTAGGGTTGGATTTGCTCTTCGAGTCAAACATAAGTTCGACTTGAACATGAGCTGTTCGGCGAACACATTAATGGTAAGGGTGTTCAGCGGGCTGTTTGCCCGCCGTGCCCTGCAATGCACTGCTCCCTGACAGTGCATTGTGATTAGCCAAAGCAATGCACCTGACCACAGTGCTTTGGCCAATTACAGCACATGATGATGGCACAAGGGGCCGGGGGTGACTCTGCCCCTTTGTAGCATCATCACAGTATTTAAGAACTGTCAGGCCAGCACGGCTGTCAAACGGCGAGAGCCAGCGTCAAGAGCAGAGCACTTTTTTTTATCTAATTTGCGGGTCAGTAGTGCAAGCGGGCTTCATGATTGACATTGGATATACAGTTGCAAGAAAAAGTATGTGAACCCCTTGGGATTACGTGGAGTTTTGCATGAATTGGGCATAAAATGTGCTCTGAACGTCATCTAAGTCACAACAATAGAAGAACACAGTCTGCTGAACATAATACTACACAAACATTAGATGTTTCCATGGTTTAATTGCACATAACATGTAAACATTCACAGTGCAGGGAGGAAAAAGTATGTGAGGCCCTAACTTAATGACTTCTCCCAGAGCTAATTGGAGCCAGGAGTGAGCCAACCTTGACTCCAATCAGTGTGATGATATTGGATGTGTTGCTGACAGCTGTCCTGCCCTTAAAAAACACACACCTGTTTTGGGTTTACTGGTTTCAAGAAGCACTATCTGATGTGAACCATGCCTCGCAGAAAAGAGCTCTCAGAAGACCTACAATCAAGAATTGTTGACTTGCATGAAGCTGGAAAGGGTTACAAAAGTATCTCCAAAAGCCTTGATGTTCATGTGTCCACGGTAAGACAGACTGTCTACAAATGGAGAAAGTTTAGCACTGTTGCTACTCTCCCTAGGCATGGTCGTCCTGTAAAAATGACTGCAAGAGCACAGCGCAGAATGCTGCATGAGGTCAAGAAGAATCCCAGAGTGTCAGCAAAAGACCTACAGAAATCTCTGGCACATGCTAACATTTTTGTTGACACATCTACAATAAGGAAAACATTAAACAAGAATGGAGTACATGGGAGGACCCCACGGAGGAAGCCATTGCTGTCCAAAAAGAATATTGCAGAACGTTTGAAGTTTGCAAAAGAGCACCTGGATGTTCCACAGCACTACTGGCAAAATATACTGTGGACAGATGAAACCAAGATTGAGTTGTTTGGGAAGAACACACAACACTATGTGTGGAGAAAAAAAGGCACAGCACACCAACATCAAAACCTCATCCCCACTGTAAAACATGGCGGAGGGAGCATCATGGTTTGGGGCTGCTTTGCTGCCTCAGGGCCTGAACGGATTGTTGTCATTGATGGGAAAATGAATTCCAGAGTTTATCAAGACATTTTGCAGGAAAATGTACGACCATCTGTCCTCCAACTGAAGCTCCACAGGGGATGGGTGATGCAACAGGACAATGACCCAAAGCATACAAGTAATTCAACAAAACAATGGCTGCAACAGCACAGAATACGCCTTCTGGAGTGGCCCAGTCAGAGTCCTGAACTCAACCCGATTGAAATGCTGTGGCATGACCTTAAGAGAGCGATTCACACCAGACATCCCAAGAATATTGCTACACTGAAACAGTTTTGTGAAGAGGAATGGTCCAAAATTACTCCAGATCGTTGTGCAGGTCTGATCTGCAACTACAGGAAACATTTGGTTGAGGTTATTGCTGCCAAAGGAGGGTCAACCAGTTATTAAGTCCAGAGGGTCACATACTTTTTCCTCCCTGCACTGTGAATGTTTACATGTTATGTGCAATTAAACCATGGCAACATCTAATGTTTGTGTAGTATTATGTTCAGCAGAATATGTTCTTCTATTGTTGTGACTTAGATGACTTTCAGAGCACATTTTATGCCCAATTCATGCAAAACTCCACTTAATCCCAAGGGGTTCACATAAATTTTCTTGCAACTGTACTTCGGGGGGACATTTTTTTGTTTTCAATAAAGGACTTGTCAAAGACTGTCTTTTGTAATTTTTTTACACTACACTTTATTTTTTTTGTGTGAATGAGTAGCGGTACCATGAACCCCATACTCATTCACATGGGAGGGACCGGGCTTCCAGATTCCAATACCCCCCCTTGCCCTCAGACCACCACAACCACAGGCCACAGTTGTGAGGAAGAGGCCCTTGTCCCATTCAACATGGTGATAAGGTGCTTTGTGGGGGGAGAGAGCCCCCCTGCCCCAAAGCACCCCCCATGTTGAGGGCATGTGGCCTGGTATGGTTCACGAGGGGGCGCTTGCTTGTTCCCCCTTTTCTGACCTGCCATGCTGCATTCTTGGATAAGGGTCTGGTATGGTTTTTGGGAAGGACCACCACACCATTAAAAAAATATTTTGGCATGGGGGGTTCCCCTCAAAATCCATACCAGACCCAAAGGGCTTGGTATGGATAGGAAGGGAACCCAAGCCATTTAAAAAAAAATTAAATTTAAATGCCAGCAATTCTTTTTCGGTGGGGAACCCTGCTGATAGCTGAAACATTACAGAATATTTTCACTACTAAAATGCCGCATACTCAGGTTTGTCCCTGTTCGAAGTTCACGGTCAAACTTTTGTTAGGTTCGAATGTTGACTGGGAACCGAACAGGGGGTGTTTTTGGCCCATCGCTGCTCATCTGCTCTGTGCAATGGTTTTGCACAGAGCAGTCCTGATCCTCCTCTTCTGGGGGTTGCTCACCAGCACTTCAAGCAGCTTGCTATGGGGGTACTAGTGTGGCATGATCTCAAGCCAGGCTGCATGCGTCTATTGACACACACAGCGTGGCTCAACCCCACCCCTGCTCCTTCCTAACTGGATTTGATTGACAGTTGCCTGCATGTCCAGTGAGGAGAGAGAGTTTCTGCTCTTGGGCACATAAATAGGGGGGGGGCTGGAGAGGAGCTCACAGTGTAAAGTTTTTTTACCTTAATGCAGAGAATGCATTAAGGTATAAAAAAACCCCAAAAAACCTAAGCCTTTAGAACCACTTTATTTGAATATTTGGGCCAGTTAGTATCAATTTGGCACTTCATCCCCGTATTACAAATACTATGCTGAAAGGGTGGGATAGGGGTTTTCAGGTGTCACACTGTTTGCCATATGAATTTACAATAATAGGGAGAAAAATAAATTTTTATTCACAATGTAAAAAAAATATTGCATAAACTTTATATAAAGGGTGTTACCATTGTTCCAAAAAGTACTACAATTTTGTAAACAATAATTTTCTTCTTGCCATTTACAAGTAAAGGCTAGGTTCACTCTTTGGAACATGTTACATGTTTCACCTGTATTTAGGGTGAAACATGTAACATATTCCAGGTTTGGCAGCCAGTTCCTCAAATTCCCCCCCCCGAATGTGACAGCGGACAGGGATCTGCTCTCCGCTTCTGCTGTCACAAATCAAAAACAGCATGGCCATGTGGGGTCTGCCCACATGGTCACATCATCCACAGTTTCCTGTGAATAAATGAAATACAAGTACCTGCAGCCACTGCAACTGATAGCTTGTAGTTTGAATGTACTGCAAGGGCGCTGGTGAGCGCTCTCTTAGTTCATTCACAACCCTTGCAGCAATTTAAACATACGGCCCATTTGAAGGTATGGGTAGAAAACTGCAGGGCCTGTCTGCAGAAGCCTGACATTGTACCACTGATAATAGAAAAAAGGGGAAAGGGAAAAATATGGGGAAAATTGGGGAGTCCAAAATAGTACAGAAAAAAGTGATGAGGTGCCACCAGAGTGGTCTGGAAGGGTACTACCTAAGACATACTGCAAAAACCAAGAAAAAAGAAAATAGGCTGCACACCTAAAATGCTAACCTCAATGACATATTTTATTCATGAAGCACAAGTACAATAAAAATATTGCATCAGAGACCTGGTATACATACCCAATCGCAAGGACCCCCCCCACTCCCCGGCATGGGGAACCCTCCCGTGACAGATACTCACTGACGGTGACTAGGAGTGTCCCCTGGGTACTAATAACACCTATACAAAATACAAGTACCTGCAGCCACTGCTACTGATAGCTTGCAGTTTGAATGCACTGCAAGGGTGTTGATGAGCGTTCTCATAGTTCATTCACAACCCCTGCTGCTTTCAGACATACAGCTCGTTTGAAGGTATGGGTAGAAAGCTGCAGGGCATGTCTGCAGAAGTCTGCAATTGCACCACTGATCATGAGTGCAATGCTCTCCATGGTCCAGCAGGAAAAAATAATAAAATGCACTTCTGACAAAAATTAGCATTTTTTATTTTTTTTTTTCTGAAAAGGTGAATTTATCCTTTAAACCTAAACATTGTGATAAGGACACACAGACCCTTAAAGTCTTAAAGATTGCATCAATGATTGTAAACTGGTGGCTACTTGGTTCTCTTTTCTCAGATCCAGTCTGTTTCCTCAGTTGTACAGTTGTATGAAGATATTATTAGTACCAGCAGTATTACATTGTTTGTCATACCTAAATACTTACAATAAAATCTCACTGTTGTCAAATGTGTATTATTTCATGCGTACACTGATAGCAATACTTAAAATGCTATTGAATCACTCTTAATAATCTTCTGATTGTTCAAAATAAATTATTCTAAAATGTAAATACAAATGTATACGACCAAAGGTTTGTGGTCAATTGACCATCAAACCTATGTAAGCTTGTTGGACAACTTTTTCCAAAATCATGCCCATTCATAATGGAGTTGGTCCCCCATTTGAAGCTATAGGAGCCTCTGCTCTTCCTGGAAGGCTTTCTACATGATATTAGGTTTGGTCTGTGGGAATGTGTGCCCCTTTATCCGAAAGAGCGGTATTTGTGAGGTCAAATACTAATGTTGGTTGAGAAGGCCTGGTTCACAATCAGTGTTACAATTCATTCAAATGTGTTCACTTGGATTGAGGACATGTATTCACCTTGCTTTCTGCACAGTGGGCACAGCTGCCCTCTTCCCCAAATTTTTGCCAAAAATTGGCAGCCCACAATTGTTTAAAATGGTTTTGTATGTAGCGCTTACCCTTGGAGGAGCCGCTTGGTATGACGGGTTCTCTGATCTTTGCAATGACTCTGAGAACTGCTTCAGCCCCTCTGACACACCTGGTAATGTAATGAGATGCTACAAACACCTCTGAGCTCAGTTAGCAGTATACAAAGCACAACTGTATTATCATATAAGAAATAGGCACCAGGCTATGTAGTAGCAAATTAAAAATAAAAGTATATTATCACTAAGCAAAATAAATGGCAATGCACAGAAATCAGTAAAGAGGTAAAAATGTTTAAAAGTTAATAAAAGTTTGAAAGAACTCAAATAACGGACGTGAATACTAGGCTAATATTGCAATTAAACCAGGTCACTGTGGTATTTAGCAGATTTTACATAGTATAAGCAGCACTGGTAAAGAGCAGCATAAACTATGAACACTAGAAACAAAAGAACAGCATAAACAGTAATGCAAAAAGTCCCACAATACCCCATGCAACAAGTGGTCAAGAAAAAAAAGAGGGTCCCAGAGCATGTATATCCCCCTGGATGTAGGTATATGTATATATCCTGAAAGGGGTACCCCTTGGAGGTAGTTGTACTGTATCTGGCACCTGATTAGCAAACATCAGCTGGCTAACAGTGAGGCCCAATCTGTACTGAGGTGCACTTAATTATTGTGCCTTTAAAGCTGCATATAGTGGTTGGTTTTTGGGGTTGCAGGGAAAAGGGGCAGTATCCAGTTGTACTGAATTGCTAAACATTGGTAAAGCAGGCAGCTGCAACTGCTCACCAGTCCTGGCATCCAGCAGACTTTTGTCCTGGCCTCTCATCTGGCTCTGGTCCTCAGGACCCAATCCTCAAGCTCAGTACTAGCACTCTGGTCTCTGCACAGGTTCTGTCCCTTTACTCTAATCTTTGTGCGGACTCGGTCCCAATACTCTGATCTCTGCACAGCAATGGCACAGATGTGCTATATGGCTCTGGTTCCTCCACAGCAAAGACCCCATTCAAACTCTGAATGCCTGCTCAAACTCTTCTTTCTTCATCCCCTGTATGCAGAAATGTATGGGTATTGATGTTTGCAGCCCCATCCACCTCTCCAGTGCAGAACTCCCTCCAGACTACATGTCCCATAATCCACCTGCGGGAGGCATCATCAAGTCCTCTCTACCACTGCAACAACTCCAGACATGGGGTGGGAAGAGGAAGCAATGGACAGGGGAACACACACAAGCTTGCTCCTTTCAGCAGCTCAACCCACAGCACAGCCATTGCTGGGGAGTCTCAGCACTCAGCCTCTAGGTTTCTCTCTCTCTCTGGCTGCAAGGATATTGTAGCATTTACAGTAACCTGGAAACATTTGAACCTGAGGTTCAGGTTCAGAGCATGAGCACAATCATAAGACAAATTTAATTAGGAGTACAGCAAATAAAGGAAATTTTTGCTAATGCAAGGGCATAATTGTTGAAGCCATATTGTTTTGTCCTCTCTTCAGTTCCCTCCCCTCTTTTTCTGCACTTCGCTTACAGTTAAAGGCTAAGTTCACCTTTTGGAATATGTTACATATTCCACCCTAAATATGGGTGGTACATGTAACATGTTCCAGCTCCTGCCCCCTCTCCCCCCTCCCTGTAACAGGGGTTGGGGGTTCTCCCTGCATCCCTGTCACTTTTTCATTCTGCATTCATTCTCAATCAGCAGCTAGAGAACAGGGAGGTGACCGGGCTGTATTTTCTGGTATTCGAAAACATAAATATAGGTCATGCAATTGCCTATACACATAGCTCCCAACTGTCCCTGATTCAGAGGGAGAGATTCCCTCTTTTGAGACAAAATTCCTTTGTGGCACACAAAACACCGACTTGTGTGACTTGTTTTTTTTTTTTGTGTTGTCATAGGCATGAAGTAGTGAACATCAATCTAAAGAACAAACCGCACTGGATGTTTGAGAAGAACCCTTTGGGTCTGGTACCTTTTCTTGAGACATCTGATGGGAAGATAATCTATGAATCGACTATTGTTTGTGAATACTTGGATGATGCCTTTCCTGGGCATGAGCTGATTCCATCTGACCCCTATGCAAAAGCTGAACAGAAGATGTTGTTGGACACTTTTTCTGCAGTATGTATGAGAACTTTGTGTTTTGGTGGGTGGTGGAAAGTGCATATGAAGGTTGAAGCCTCTTGCTTTTGACCTATGATCCTCAGATTGTGACCTTTTTCTTAACTGATCCTTAGGGCACAATTATTCCCTCTGGCACCAACTATGTGGCACTATTCCTCCCTCTGACACAAGATTAGGGCACTGTTCCTCACCCAGACACCTATGACAGGGCACTATTCTTAGTCCAGAAACCTACGATGGGGCACTGTAACCCTGTGACACCAATGATGGGGCACTGTTTATTCCCACTTACCTTTGGGCACTTTCTACTCCCACTGGCCACAGTATGCCCCCCCTTAAAACTTAAGGGCAAAAAACTGGACCTTTGTGTAAAACAATTGAGGATCCCTGCTTTAAACTGTTTTTTCTGGTAATCTTTAGGATACCTTGGTTATCCCAGCAAGCTGAAAGTAAGGAAAATGAAGCCATTGTCCCTAGCACAGCCTAGTCAGGCTCCAGGTTTCATTTTCAGCTTTTTACTACTTATAGAAAACAACTCTTTGTAAGATTGCCAACTCTCTTCTGCCTTTTGTTTCCAATTTCCAAGGAGTAGGACTGCTTTGATGTAACAGACTGTCATGCTAATGCATTTTCCAATATTTGAGACACAATACAAAAAGAGTAATAATAATCATTGTGCAGTGAACAATAATTCATATAACGCACAACATAAAAAAATTAAGTGTTCTGTGCCATTTTTAAAGGAAAATGCAATTTAGTTACTATGGGAAACACAATAAGAGAAAACTACTAACTTATTGCTGTGGGGAACTGAAGAGTATTTTCTTTACCCTCAGGCTCAGTGTTAATTCACACATTATTTGTTTAGAGAAAACCTAGCTATACACAGGGGCGGACTGACAACTCATGGAGCCCCCGGGTAATAGGGGATCATGGGGCCCCTGTGTCCTTGCCCAAACTCAAAAAAGCCTATGAAAAAGGTACCAGGGGCATCTCATGGGGCCCCCTACTGACCCTGGGCCCATGGGCAGTGCCCGAATTTCCAAATGGTCAGTCCACCCCTGGCTAAACCTATAGATGCAGTGTTAATCTCTTACTGCTGAACAACATATCAGCTGTTGTTTTAATAAGATCACAAAAAAAAACCCCACAAAAAAAGCAGAGCGCTAAATTGCTAAAAAAAAATAGTGCTGATCAACTGTAGTGAAACACAATTCATATAGGCAAAACAATAACAGCTCAGAAATAAAGCACTTTGTGCCAAAAATAATTTAACGACAAAAAAAAGTCCATGTAATTATGCTTCTAGTGATGGATAAACAAATCCCCACCGTAGACACAAGTTTTCAACCAGCACCTCCACGTATGAATTCATCAGACCTAAAGTGATCAGCAGGTTGAATCGCGCTTAAAGCTGAAGTTTAGTCATGACTGTTCTGGTCCAGCTTGGACCACAAAACATATGTGTAATGTGCCATACTTGTGGAAGCTGAAAATCACTGTGGTAGACGCCACTGCTACAGTAGTCACTGCTAGTTTCTGGGTGTCTGATTGGACGTGGTGGAGATCATGATGTCAATAACCCACCTCTCCTCCCCATCCAATCAGAGAATGTTTTGTACTAACCACTTGCCCTCCAGAAGATCTTCCCCCCTTCCTAACCAGGCATTTTGTTGCGATACGGTGCTGCGTTACTTTATCTGACAATTGCACGGTCATGCAACACTGTACATGAATACAAAATAGACATTTCTCTTGGTGGTTTTTTGATCACCTCTGTGGTTTATAATTTTTGTGTTATAAACAAAAAAAGACAATTTTGTAAAAAACTAAATAAAACAATATTTTGTATTTTCTATTATAAAACATCCAATAAAAAAATTATACAAATCAAATGTCTTCATAAATTGAGACCAAAATGTATTCTGCTACATATTTTTGTTAAAAAAAATCAGAATAAGTGTATATTGATTAGTTTACGCAAATGTTATAGCATCTACAAACTATGGAACATATACTGGAAAATTTTTAATTAGTTTAATATTAGTAATGATGGCGATCAGCGACTTATAGTGGGACTGCGATATTGCGGCGGACATTTTTACACTAACTGACACTTTGTGGGTACCAGTGACACTAATACAGTGATCAGTGCTAAAAATATGCACTAATCACTGTACTAATGACACTGGCTGGGAAGGGGTTAACATCTAGGGCACTCAAAGGGTTAAATGTGTGCCTAGCTATGTGCTTGGTGTACACTAGGTGGTGCTTGTACTAGGAGAAGTGAAGGATTGTGTTCCCAGCTTTGGAGGAACAAATGATCTTTCAATTCCCCACCTGTCAGAACAGAGCTCTGCCTTGTTTACATGCCCAAGGATTGGCTGGTTCCAGCAAACATCCATTCACCGGGACTCGCAGATTGGCCTCTCCTGTGAGTGTTCACAGCAGAAGCAAGTTGCTGGCAGCGTGCATGCACGTCTTATGGCAGAATTGTAAAATCACATGTGTATACATATTTTTGCACAGGAGGGCTGCCCTGTAGTAGTAAAACTGGTAGAGGGTGATCTCCAAGTAAAATGCTAAGTGTTCTCTCAATAGCGCCTGTGCCAAGCAAGCAACCTACTGTGTTTAATAAGTAGCAGGGCAGCATTTTGGCAGCAGAACCAAAAGCTAGCAGCAATCACTGTAGTAGCAGTGCCTACTATAGTGATTTTCGGCTTCCACGGGGATTGACCAGGTATAGCGCATGCACAGGAACTGTACATTAGTCCAGTGAAAAATTATCAATACCTAAACCTCAGCTTTTAAGGAAAAGTTCATCTTTTCAAGTAAATTGCCTATGCAAAGAAAGGGGCTCCAGTAAGTAAAAAAAAAAAAAAAAAAAAGAGTGCAGTATACCTGAAATGTGCTGTATACCTGTAGGCCATTTTCACTCCTTTCACCCTCCTTTTCCTCTCATCCTGAAGCCTAGCCAAAAATGGCCCATGGTTATCATTCTCTCATCCTGCCTTGTTGTTAAGACATTCCAGTCAATGGTTGCTCCTGCCCTGAATCACTGAAGCAAGTGATCTCCCTTATTCAAAATCCTGTGTTTGCATTATGTGTTCTTTCCCAACAGTTCGAGCGTCCTAGCAACAAGGCAGGAGCACGATTTCAAAGGTGCACATTTTTTTCTTTTTCTGCTGGGGTTCCTTGACTTTTTTTTAGGTGATTTTCCTGAAAGATGAACTTTAATATCAAACTCAGCCATATTTCCCTGCTCTAATCTGTGGATTTCTTTTGGAGTAAAGAGTTCTGTAACACATTGAAGTTTGATGTTCAGAGTGATTAGGCCTGTTGATCAGTTTATAGGTTTGAATGCCGGGTGGTTTCATTTAGAATACTTTTCCACAAGACATTTGTTTCACTTGTTTTTAAAAATAATTTTAGCTCAGAGGACTTTATTTATGAATGGTTTCTTTCATTTTGTACTATTGAATTATGTTTCACTGCAGTGGATCAGCACAACATCCAAAACACCTACAATAGTCATCATTTTTGTTTCAAGTTTTTATTATGATCTTATTAGCAAAGCAAATGGTACATTGTGTGAGTATAAAAGATCAGCACTGCATTTATATTTAGGTTTTCTCTAAACATCAAAGGTTTGAATTCACACTGAATCCTGTATATAGAAAAGTATTTGAGACTTCAAAAATTTTAATTATTTTCTTACTGTGTAGTTCAGAGCATTTTCCTTTTTTCTCTCTGAGTTCCCCATTTATTTAGTTGGTATTTTCCTTTCTCTCACATATCAAGCATCAAAATTCCATTTGCCCCAGAAACAATGAAAAACTACAGCAGAGAAATACACAGTAGCATGTTTCCCTAGTAAAACACACACATTACACACAGTACACACAGTAAAACAGCACACGGCACACAGTTAACCCTTTGATCGCCCCAGATGTTAACCCCCTCCTGCCCAGTGTCATTAGTACAGTGTCAGTGATTTTTATTAGCACTGATCACTGTATTAGTGTCATTGGGATGTCAGTGGCAGTTAGACAGTTTCCCCCCAGTGTCAGAATGCCTGCCGTAGTCCCACTATAAGGTCCTCTATTACTAGTATATATATATATATCCAGTATATATATATATAGCCATTTGTAGATGCTGTAACTTTCAAGTAAACCTATTACTTTACATGTATTGGAATTTTTTTTAGCAAAGACATGTAGCAGAATACATTTTAGCCTAAATTTAAGACAAAATGTGTTTTAACAAATTTAATGGATATGTTTTATACCAAAAAGTAAAAAATATTGTTTGTTTTCAAAATTTTCGGTCTTTTTTTGTTTATAGTGCAAAAAATAAAAAACCGCACAGGTGATCAAATATGACTGAAAGAAAGCTCTATTTGTGGTAAAAAAAAGGACATAAATTTCATTTATGTACTGCATTGAATGACTGCACAATTGTCCGTTAAAGTAATACAACACCGTATCACAAAAAATGGCTTGGTCAGGAAGGGGGGGTAAATCCTCTGGAGGGCAGATGGTTAAACAAATGTCCACGCTCACACCCACGATGGATGTCCTGGGCACCCAGGAAAGAAAGGTGAGCCCGCCATGCAGAATGGCATCAGGCGCGGGTTATGAGGGGGAAAGGGCATGTTAGTGCACATGTAGAAGTCATTGGTTGGCTTTACAGTTGTTTGAATAATTTCCACAAAGAAGCCTGTCTTCTGAACAAATGTGTACATGCAAGCGCTGCTGCAGAACTGTGACATACATTGGTAGCAGAGAAAGGGTTAAAAGTGGCAAAGAATGCTTAATTTTTTATTTTTTGCATTATATGAATAATAATTTTTATATGAATTATAATATAGAATTTTTTTTAGTGATGTGTTTCTTTCTTCTTCTTCTTTTTTTTTTTTTTCTTTCATGGTTTTTATTGTGATCTTGTTAGCATGTACATTGTTCAGTTATTTTTGCAGTCTAGTTATTTCCAGTATTTGCATACCTATACTACTCCGTACTCTTACTACTTGACCTCTCTGCGGCTTTTGATGCGGTTGACCATCCCTTCCTCCTCAAAATAACTCCACTCTCTTGGCCTCAGAGACTCTGCTCTCTCCTGGTTCTCCTCCTACCTATCGCAGCGCTCATTCAGCGTTACCTATAACACTGCCTCCTCCTCTTCACTCCCTCTTTCTGTAGGGGTCCCTACTCTTCTCCATCTACACCTCCTCCCTTGGTCACTTGATAAACACACAAATCTATCTTTCTACTCCTCACCTCACCCCTTCAGTTTCCTCTCGCATTACTAACCTACTAAGTGACATATCGGCATGGATGTCACTCCACTTCCTCAAACTCAATCTTTCCAAAACTGATCTCTTAGTATTTCCCCCATCCCGTGCCCCTCCCCTGATGTCTTCATCAAGATCAATAACACAATCATCATTCCTTCCCCTTATGCTAGTGTACTAGGTGCACTCCTAGACTCCCATCTGTCCTTTCAGCCCCAAATCCAATAGCTGTCCAAATCTTGTAGACTTCACCTCTGCAACATCTCCAAGATATGGCCGTTCCAAACCTTGGAAACCACTAAGCAACTTATTCACTCCTTTGTTATATCTCGCCTTGACTATTGCAGCTCCCTCCTCATTGGCCTACCTCATTGCAGGCTATCTCCTCTTCAGTCTATCATGAATGCTGCTGCCAGACTCATCCACCTTACTAACCGTTCCATATCTACCACCCCTCTCTGCCAATCCCAACACTGGCTTCCCATTGCCCAACGGATAAAATTCAAAACATTAGCAATAACATATAAACCCATTTATAACTCTGCCCCAATTTACATCACCATCTTGTCTCCAAATATCACCCAAACCGCCCTGTGCTCCTCGCACGACCTCCTGCTCTCTAGCTCCCTTGTCTCTTCCTCCCATGTTTCTCTCCAAGACTTCTCTAGAGATTCTCCCATCCTCTGGAACTCTCTACTCCAATGTATCAGTCTATTGCCTACTCTAATCACTTTTAACGATCTCTGAAAACCTATCTCTTCAGGGAAGCCTATCCTGTCTCAGCTAATAATGGAATATTCTACTCCTCCTACCAGTCCATCCCCCACAAACCTTTTGTACAACTAGCCCTTCCCTCTTAAATTGTAAGCTTTAAGGTGCAGGGCCCTCCTTTCCCTCTTGTATTGAACTGTATTGTTGCTGTATTGTCTCCTGTTATATTGTAAAGCGCTGAGCAAACTGTTGGCGCTGTATAAATCCTGTATTATTATAATAATAATAATAATATCTTAGTTAGGGTCGGTTTACCATCAGGCAAGGAAGGCAAGTGCCTATAGGAAGCAGTTTCTTGGGTACAGATATGCTTACGGTAGCCCATTCAGTGATACTGGGCTGTATATGCTTGGCAAGACAAGAAAATCCAGACCTGCACTGCAGTACATTATCACATATGACACTAAAACGTGTGTTTTACTGCAATGCAGTAATGTGAAGCCACTCTTTACCAGGCTTCCCCAAAAATGTAGCAGTCTCAAACTGGGTGTACTAAATCATCTACTGGTAGTAACTGTAATATAAAGTGAATAATGTTTATATCAGTAGAAAAGTTGATACAATCAATCCCCATATAAAATCTAGATGGCATTGTCCAATGCAACTCATCCCTCGTGCCCAGCAAGTCAAATGAACTTGTACAATACTATTAATAATCTATAAAAGGCAAATGAGTAAATGTTTTCTCAATAATCTAATGGTGACAAAGTCCACTAATCCTAAAGTGTGATACACAACCCAAAAGCAATCCTGCATTGGCTTTACACATTTTTAAATTTTCACTTTCTTTTCTTTATTTTCACCTGATGATCCAGCCAGTAAGTATGTTATTTTTCAAAAGAACACACCTCATGCAAATGTAGCAGTTTGTGTTGATACGAACCATTTACCACTCACAGTCTATCTAGTTCATCTAATAAAATCCTCCCCCCAGATTGACAAATCAGCTGTCCAAAGGTGCCCCTATGCTGCTTCAATCAAAGTAGGGGCACTCTAATACAGGAGGTGTGTTACTGTCCAGAAATACCATCTGAATATAGAGAAAAAGAATTCCTCCTCCCGGCTCACTACTTTCAGTATTAATTATTCTGCATGACGAGGCATATGGACAAGAACCTGTAGTATAGGGGAAAATATTTTTTAACACAAAAAATTCTAAATCTTTAGGCTTTATCTGATATGACACTATAACTAAACAAATGCTGCAACCTTTATTGTTTTTCAGCTCACACCTATATTTTACAAGATTTTGATGACACAGAATACTAATATAGATGCAACTGAATTAAAATCACAGTTCTTTGAGAAGTTCAAAAAACTGGAAGAGGTAAGATTTCTCTTATTGCTTGTTGGGAAAACACAGCATGATGGATTGCTACACCACTCTACTCCATACATTGTGCTATACATCATATCATGTGTACATTTTACTCTTCATACTGTTCATATATTAACAGATGTTTTTTGTACAGTTTGGGATTTTTTTCTAGACTTGAGAATTACAAACTGTTTGATGAAAGGACTAATTTCTGTTAGTGGAAAAATAGCCTTTTTAGCATATGATAGGTAGCGACCCTGCCCTATGCAGATGTACATTTACAAATGTGTTATTGCTATGGTATCACCAGCCTGAGCTAATATTTACCTTTTCTGGGATCTGTCAGAACAGAGCTCTGCCTTGTTTGCATAGGCAGAGCTCTGTGAGGGAACCATGAATGCCAACATGTACTGTGACATACTGAAGCAGAGCATGATCCCCTCCCTTCGGAGACTGGTCCGCAGGTCAGTATTCCTACATGATAACAACCCCAAACACACCTCAAGATGACCACTGCCTTGCTAAAGAAGCTGAGGGTAAAGGTGATGTACTGGCCAAGCATGTCTCCAGATCTAAACCCTATTGAGCATCTGTGGGGCATCCTCAAATGGAAAGTGGAGGAGCACAACGTCTCTAACATCCAGAAGCTCCGTGATGTCGACATGGAGGAGTGGAAGAGGACTCCAGTTGCAAACTATGGAGCTGGTGAACTCCATGCCCAAGAGGGTTAAGGCAGTGTTGCAAAATAATAGTGGCCACACAAAATATTGACACTTTGGGCCCAATTTGGACCTTTTCACTTAGGGGTGTACTCGCTTTTGTTGACAGTGGTTTAGACATTAGTGGCTATGTGTTGAGTTATTTTGAGTGGACAGCAAATTTACACTGTTATACAAGCTGTACACTCACTACTTTGTAGCAAAGTGTCACTTCCTCAGTGTTTGTCACATGAAAAGATATAATAAAATATATACAAAAATGTGAGGGGTGTACTCACTTCTGTGAGATACTGTATATGATTCAGCCAATCTTTGAGCTGCAACATTATGTTATGGTCCAGGAAGTGATAAATCTCTGGTGTGGTCCAGATACAGGGCAGGTAGCCATGGAACAGGCAGGAGGACCCAATTATTTCCAGCGGCTCCCTAGGAAGTCATCTCTACAAGTATACAATATTTACAGTCAACACTACTCTCCCAAAATCAGTGCGGGGTAGCACTATACTGGAATAGGTAAACCCACTGTTATTAAAATGTTGATGTCTTTCTTCTTCCTTGTCTTCAGGCACTGGCTAATAAGAACACACCATACTTTGGTGGTGATTCTGTGTCATTTTTTGACTATATGGTGTGGCCCTGGTTTGAGAAATTCAGCTTTTGTGGATTGGAAGGGTAAGGACAACCTCTTTTTTTGTTTACTCATTGTGTTTGAGAACTTGAATAGCTTGTCAAGAGCTGCAGTTAAAATATCTGCTTGAATAAAATTAGCAAGTTTTGTATTTCATATTAGTTATAAAATCATACTAGTCACCAGATTTTATCTGAGTTGATTTCATCCAAGGTTCTGCAAAGTGAGGAAGCCTACTCACAATATGTACAGTATGTGCCCTTTATGCTCTATTTTATGCTCTGCCAAACACCCCTGCTATGCTGATGCTTGTATTCCCATTGACATAGAGGCTGGCTTATGAAAAGCTGGGAGCCCACAAAATACACTGGTATGTTACATCCCTGTACCCGAATAACCATTTAGCGCCCTGCAACATAACTGTACATCATGGGCGTTTGAGTGGTTATACTGGGATGATACCTGCAACTGCAGACATGGTTCTACTATCTTTTTCAGCCAGCAGAGCACTTTTTTGTAAAAGCAATCTTAGCAGCTAAATAGCCGCTGGATTCCCTTTACAAGTAGCAGAAGGGGGTCCCATGCCCTCCTGCCGCTTTCCTAAGCTCTCCTGTTCCACTGACTGCCCTTGATCATCTCTATGGTCTAAGAAATTGGAAGCACTGAGTATTTTAGCACTTCCAGTTTCGCCAGTTGTAAACAAACCTTTACTGGATTTAAAAAAGCATCAGATCAAACTGATCTGAGTTTGATCCAATGCTTTTAAGGGCAGATCTCTCGGTAAAGAGTACATGTCACTGCCCATGATGACCTCTGATGCTGGTCACTTGCTTGCTGCTGGCTACTGTCACTTGTAGATACAGAAGTGCTGGTTCTGTATTTACAAGTGACAGTGATCCTCTCTTGGTGGCAGCTCAGAACCCTCGCTGCACTGCACATCTCTATATGAGAGCAGAGGAGGGAGGGGGCTAGGAATCTACACAGCTGCTGTTAGTCTCACGGCAGGCGTCCCACCTGAAGCCCGCCAGCAGCCTGCACTGTCCAGTCTTATACTGTAAGTTGGAGCTGCTCTTACACAGCATCCCCTCCATCGGATGCCCTCTAGGCTGGAGGGAGAGGATTTGCAGTAGAAGGAGAGCTCCCTGATGGAAGGATGGAAGGGGGGTGGGCTCTACATTGGAATCTGGGGGGAGAGCTTGGTACTGCGGAGGGGGACTTGGGGGTACACAGAGCACCCCTCAACACTGCACTCTGTATGCAACACACTCCTCAACTCTGCAGTTTTGTACACATCGCACCCTTCAATCCTTCACTCTGTACATAACATAACCCTCAACCCTGCACTCTGTATGTAGAGCACTACTCAACCCTGCACTCTGTATGTAGAGCACTCCTCAACCCTGCACTCTGTATGTAGAGCACTCCTCAACCCTGCACTCTGTATGTAGAGCACCCCTCAACCCTGCACTCTGTACACAGTGAACTCCTGAACACTTGGTGTGTAACAATGCCCTGCTGTTAGTGCAATTTGGCAACAACCAAAATTTGATGCAGAACACCTCCCTTTTCCCTCCCCAGAGTGGGGGGAGTTTGAGTTCCTGCACCTTTTCTCTGAGAAGAAAAGCCCTGTTCACAAGGATTGCTGTTTATCCCCTGTGAAAGCGCAAAAACATACGCACACATCAGTCCCACGCACACATGTAAACAGCAATCTCTCCTTGTGCTGGTCTTGTCTTCACCCCCTCTTATAGCATTTTTTAAGGCAATATATAGCAGGTGGGCCTGTTGGGTTCTTCCCATGGCTCCACTCTCTGCACATGCTATGTGAAGCAGAATGATGATGTCATTGCTGCTTTTACAAGTTAATAACTGGGTCTGCAAAGGGATTTAGTGCACACAAAGTGTGGGGGATGACTTATATCCTTGATGGCTATTGAAGAATATAATTAGGTGGACGTTTGTGTGCATGGAGTTCAGCTTTAATGCTTTATCCTGCCATTTATTGATTATCTAAACATCTTTATTACAAATGATCTTTTCATAGACATGCACATTTTGGATTGGCTAAGCAGGAGAAGGAATAAACCCTCGGTGGCAGATTATTTTGATGGTGTTCATTACGGGGAAGGGAATAGGCAACTACGACTAGCTAGACAGACATTAAAACATTTAGTGCAAGACATGTCTGAGTGGTTTTTCTGTTCCTTTTTTCTAGTCTTTTAGATAAGACTCCAAATGTCAAAGCTTGGCAGGATCGTATGCTACAAGACCCAGCAGTCAAGGCAACCTTCACTGAGCCAGAAGTCTTCTCAGGATTTTTCAAGCTCTACGTTGAGGACAGTGTGGAAGCTGCGGATTACAACCTTAATTAAAAAAGCTGTTCTCCAACATTTTAACCTGAATCTTGTGTCTTTTCCATAACAATCAGAACTGTCTCCTGTGGTTCATGACATCTAAAGCAAGCTTTCCCAGCTCCCCCATGCCACTAATTACATCTTTTTCCAACCAGCTGTATAGGTGTTAGTTACAGTTTAAAGAACAAAACCAATTATTTTAACCTATAATTCTGTGAGAAGATCTAGAAGACCAGAGCTGTTGTTGGTTTCTGAGGGCTGGTTTGGGAAATGATGATCTAAAGCACTTGTACTTCAAATGACCATTGTAATATTTTTTTTTCACAGGTTGAGCCTGGTGTATGTGCATAGGCTGCAGTGATTTTCTGAAAATTTGTGCTTTCTGCTTTGTCTAATAAGGGAACATTATCAAAGCCAAATTCAATTCAGAAAAGAACTGTCAAAAGACCTGCGTAAGAAAGTAATGGAAAGTAATGGAACTTTATAAAGATGGAAAATTATATAAAATGATATCCAAAGCCTTGAATATGCTAGTCAGTACTGTTCAATTGTTTATTAAGAATTGAAAAATGTGGAAATCTTGATACAAAGCCAAAGTCAGGTAGAAAAATTGCAAATTGCAGCCACAACTGCCAGAAGAATTGTTTGAGATACATAGAAAAAAATACAGGCTGCTCTGGAAAAATACAGTGTGGTTGTTTTTAAGGAGCACAATACGATGATACTTGTACAAAGGTGAGCTGCATGAAAGAAGCCTTTACTGCACCAATGCCACAAAAAAAGCCCAGTTACAATATGCCTGACAACACCTTGACATGCCTCACCAGGCTTTTTGTGCCATTGGTGCAGTAAAGGCTTCTTTCTGGTATCTAGACCATGCAACTCATTTCTGTTCAAGTATTGTCGTATTGCCTTTAGTTCTGCTTTAACACTAATTTCTTTTCGCTCACAATGTTATATTCAGCAGGGGCTGATGTGTGGGGAGAAAATACGTTTATGCGCAGCCAACAGTATAAAGGCTACAGCCTAGGCACTAGGGATGGAGCCAAACTTACCTGGGTTCTGTTTGCGATGTATTTTCACAACTAAAGTTTGGGTGCTGAATGTGAATCCCATTTAAGTCAACTGTAATCAAATGTTAAAAAGCAGTAATGGCCATTTAGGTTAATGGGCAAGGGATTGTTGAACAAATGCCACAGGAGGCTGGACACTACCCTGAGGCAAATTACAGTTTCAGCTGCTTTACTTTCCTTTGTACACAAATGGCTGGAGATTCCTTTCATCTTTGCCAGTCTTATCCTAGATGAGGGTCTGATATACATTTTAATAGGGGACCCTTACACAAAAAAGGGTGTTCGGTTCCCCCTAAAAATACATACAAGACCTTTATTCTTGATATCAAGGCGGACCCCACGCTAAAAAAAGGCTTAAAAAAAGTCATACCATTCAGTTTTTGTATGCATTTTAAGAGGAAACGTACACAAAAAAAAACAAGATAAAAAGAGTGTGCCCCCCCCCCCCCCCCCCCCAAACTTTGTCCTCATCCCTACTAGTTGCCAGTTTACTATCTCTGGGCCAGCATCTTAATCTGTTCATACATGTTACCATCTGGTTGAAAGTAATAGAAATCTAGGTAGAAATATTCCTACCACATATTTGTTGAATAGGTATACTGGAGTGGCTGACACAAATAAGGGCTCATTCCCATGGGCATACAATATGTTGCTTTCAGATCTCCAATTTATTGGGATTTTAACACAGTAGTATTGTCTGCTATGGGTCCAATTAGGGGTGTATTTGCCGCAAGGCAAACAAGGCATTTGCCTAGGGAAGCACTTTTTAGGGGGGCGGCGCAGTGGAGACGCCACCCCCCGTTTCCCACGGAAGGGAAACTTAGTACAGGGGCGGGCTACTGTGTCTTACCTGGGTCCGTGACTCCTTGTCCCAGTCCCACGTCGATCCGGTCCACGAATCGCTGCTGGAGAAGGGGTAGAGCGGTTGTCTGGTCAGCGGGTCCGGTGTCTTCGTTTCCCTGGATCGTGATGTGTGGGCGAGATGTCTTTTGGCCACACCCTCCAGGATCACTCAACAGCCTATGGCAGCTTGTCCCTCCCTCTGCAAGCTCTGCCTCCTCACCAGTGATTGGCTGCCGGAACTGTAGCTCAGGAAAGGCACACAGGTGGCCAATCACTGGCGAGGAGGTGGAGCTTGGAGAGGAGTAGCCGAGCAGCAACGCGAAGATCAAAGAAGATCGCATGTGGGAGCGGCCGGAGCAAGTGAAGGAGGAGGAGAGTGGCCGGAGAAGGAAGACGGCTGACAGGTAAGTGTCTGTGCCGTGCAGATGGTGCTGCTGCAGCCAGGTATGCTGGCTGTGGATAGGAGAGGGAGGGAGGGAGCCCAGGCTGGAGCAGGGGTCAGCAAGGTAAGTATCATTGGTGTCAGTGGGAGGAATAGTGCCCCATCATTGGTGTCACTGATACCAATGATGGGGCACTATTCCTCCCACTGACACAAATGATGGGGCACTATATCCCCCCCACTGACATCAACAATGGGGCACTATTCCCCCTCCCCCCCACACTGACATCAATGGTGGGGCACTATTCCCCCCCCCCCACTGATACCAATGACGGGGCACTATTCCTCCCACTGACACCAATGACGGGGCACTATTCCTCCCACTGACACCAATGACGGGGCACTATTCCTCCCACTGACACCAATGACGGGGCACTATTCCTCCCACTGACACCAACGATGGGGTATGATTACATCTACACTGACACCAATGAAGAGGCACTATTCCTTTCAAGTAACATTGTACTTTTCAATGCAGTTTTTAAACAAGAGAAATATGCATTTCTGCCACTAGGGGGTCACAGCAGGGGAAAGGCTCCAGTTTAGTTTGCTTGTGGGCTCCATCTTTTACCTTCTACAGTTGGGTACTTGTTGGAGTACAGTAGATGATAGTTTCTGTCCTTTCAGGCTTTAAATGATAGGCAAGAGGATAGATTTGTCTGACAAATTAGCTTACCTATATAACCTTTAAATTATTGCTATTAATGTTCTCCATCATCATAGCATATTGTTTAACTATAGTCTGCTCAATTGTTTTTTCTTTTCCTCCTCTCAATAATATAGTGAGATCAACATCTAGAGTTTGGAAACATTTCTGCAGTGCAATTTCTGCTGAGAATAAAGCTGAAATTTGTAAATATTGTGAAATGAAATATTCTTTTCCAAATGCTACAAAAATGACAAAACACATCCCTGAATACCAGGAGTGCCTTAAAGACATTAAAAATACTTTATAAAATTAATTGATGAGGACTATAATGAGTGAAGTGCATTTAGCTTTTCCCTTCAGAGTTCCCATTCCAGAAACACTCTTTTTGCTCCTTCTGGATCATTACAAATTATAAAAAGTTTATATTTTTTTCTTTGTTTAGTTGAAATGCAGCATCAACCATTTTTTTGTTTTTACTTAGGATTGTGTTGCCAGCCAGAGTTTGTGTATATTTAATATCTCAAGTGCATATGTGCATGGGGCCTAAAGGAGTTTGTACAAGCAAATTGTAATATCAGTCAGCCTCTAATACAGTTACAGTTCTTGTTCCTGTTTTTAAGTGTAATTTTGGAGAGCAGTAACCTGTAGTAGCCAATCACAATTCCTTTAATTTCTTTTCATACTTGTAAATCTCACAGTGAATTCTGATTGGTGTGTGGCTGTATTGCACTGACGAATACAAATTATTATTGAAAAAGATAGTTTTAGAGACAATGCATTAATTTAACATAATAAAAATATATCTGAGATTAGGACTATTTTAAGAATGTGCATGCAAAATCTCATTTACAATCTTCATTAATAAAATCTCATATACAATACATTACACACAGCTCCCATTTGAATGATGACCTTTTGTGCAGCTAAATATATTGTATCTATCGCTTACTATTCCCCCCCCCCATTTGCGAATTATCCCCAATCACGTTTTGTCTTTTCTACTGCAGTTTTTACCTTCACCCAGAGGCTATTTACTAAAACTGCAGAGTGCAAAATCTGGTGCAGCTCTGCACGGGAATTGTCATGAGCATCTAGCGCTCCTGATCCATCACAGCTGCTGGTCTCATTCCATCATTCTGGTTTTGGCTGTGACACATTCTCCCTGTCTGTCTGTCCACCAGAAAGGTGGTTGATGTGGCCACTTTTTGGGTGGAGACCAAACCTGACTTAAGCCAGCCAAGCCTGCAGTTTCATGCATGTGATATTGCATTTGTAACATGCTGCAAGCTCTCTGTCTGTCAGTCTGGATTCCCTTGTTGACCTTGCATCAGATATCGACTACTCTCTGAACTCTGTCTGCCTTTAGACTATGGATCTGACCATGACTATCCTGAACCTTGCTTGCCTTGTACCCAGACTGTCATTGAACCACTCTGCCTTTCTTCCAACCACAAGTATCTGTTTGCTTTGCCCAGTTCGCACCTGCCCCAGAGTGGTAGCCAGGCACTATAGCATTGTGTATAAATCTGGGGGCAACCAAGTACCGGTAGGCCTGCTTGCATTATGGGAAAGGGGCTGCTATAGTTACATAGTTAGTCTGGCTGAAAAAAGACAAAAGTCCATCCAATTCAACCAAAAAAAAAAAGTTATAATCCTATACCCACAGTTGATCCAGAGGAAGGCAAAAAACCCAGCAAAGCATTATCCAATTTGCTCCTACAGGGAAAAAAATTCCTTCCTGATCCCCCGAGAGGCAATCTGCTATTTCCTGGATCAACTTTACCTAAATGTTAGTAAGCAAGCAATATTCTGTGTATCCAAGAAAGAATCCAGGCCTTTTTTAAAGCAATCCACTGAGCTGGCCAGAACCAACTCTTGAGACAGTCTATTCCACTTTTTCAAAGCTCTTACTGTGAAGAAACTTTTCCGTGTTTGGAGATTAAATTTCTTTTCCTCCACATGTAAAGAGTGCCCCCTTTTCCTCTGTGATGATCTCAAGGTGAATAACTGT